GAGTTGCCTTTTGTGTGTATCTGTTTCTCGTTGCAGCCGTGCTTCTGAAAAAAATGCAGCTGAAAGAGCAAACTGCTTTGTTTGTGACAGAGTCGTGGAATGGTTAGGGTGGAAAGGGACCTGAAAGATCTCATTTCAGCCCCCTTCCATGGGCAGGGACACCTTTTACTATCCCAGGTTGTTCCCAGCCCCGTCCAGCCTGGCCTTGGACACTTCCAGGGATCCAGGGGCAGCCACAGCTTCTCTGGGCACCCTGTGCCAGGACCTCACCACCCTCACAGGGAATAATTCCTTCCCAATATCCCATCCATCCCTGTCCTCTGGCAGTGGGAAGCCATTCCCTGTGTCCTGTGCCTCCATCCCTTGTCCCCAGTCCCTCTCCAGCTCTCCTGGAGCCCCTTTAGGCCCTGCAAGGGGCTCTGAGCTCTCCCTGGATCCTTCTCTTCTCCAGCTGAGCACCCCCAGCTGATCCAATTCCCACCATCCTCAAAGCAATCGCTCTTTCATGTGAAGTTTCCCAGGTTACATTTTAGTGCAAGGGAAATGGCCTCAGGTTGCACCAGAGGATGTTTGGATTAGACATGGGAGGGGAAAAAAAATCATGGAAGGGGTTGTAAAGCATTGGAACAGCTGCTCAGGGGAGTGCTGGAGTCACTAAAAACGTGTGGATGTGGCACTTGAGGACGTGGTTTAGTGGTGACCCTGGTGGTGCTGGCTGACAGTTGGACTTGATGATCTTGGAAAACATTCCCAGCCTTAACGACTCTTGGATTTCGTGAAACCCAGCAGAGTCTTTGGAGAAGTCTGTGCCTCATGAAGTGTGCAGCACAAAATGAAAGCAGACAGGGAGCTCCCCCCGTGTCGTCGGCAATGGAGCGTTTTAATTGAAGGCAGCAGGCGCGGCGTTAATGGCAGGCAGCCGCCTGTCCCCGCCCGGCTTGGTGGCACCTCGGGCAGTTCCGTGCCAAACATCATCAGAGTGTCAGGTCTTGAGGAGATCGGGGGGGAGAGGCTCTGGCAGCTGTGGAGGGTTTATTCCATCAGCACTGTCTGTAGTGCTTGCTCTCCATCGTCTCTCTGCCTTTGGTGCTGGGGTGAGGCACAAGGATTCTGAAGAATCCGGGACTGAGTGAAGATCTCAGGGTTCGAGTTCTGCCTCCTTGGCTTGGAGTGATCCCCATGAGCCACCAAGGCCTGGAGTGACCTCCATGGGCCAACAAGGCCTGGAGTGATCCCCACGAGCCACCAAGGCCTGGCTCAGTGATCTCCATGGTCCACCAAGGCCTGGCTCAGTGATCTCCATGAGCCATCAAGGCTTGGAGTGATATCCATGAGCCACCAAGGCTTGGAGTGATCCCCATGAGCCACCAAGGCTTGGAGTGATCCCCATGAGCCACCAAGGCCTGGTTTAGTGACCCCCACAAGCCACCAAGTGGCTCAGTGACCCCCATGAGCCACCAAATCCTGGCTTAGTGACACCCATGAGCCACCAAGGCTTGGAGTGATCTCCATGGGCCACCAAGGCCTGGCTCAGTGATCTCCATGGGCCACCAAGGCCTGGAGTGATCCCCATGAGCCACCAAGGCCTGGAGTGATCCCCATGAGCCACCAAGGCCTGGAGTGGTCTCCATGAGCCACCAAGGCTTGGAGTGATCCCCGTGAGCCACCAAGGCCTGGCTCAGTGACCCCCACAAGCCCCCAAATCCTGGCTCAGTGACCCCCACGAGCCACCAAGGCCTGAAGTGATCTCCATGAGCCACCAAGGCCTGGTTTAGTGACCCCCACAAGCCACCAAGGCCTGGCTCAGTGACCCCCACAAGCCCCCAAAGCCTGGCTTAGTGACTCCCATGAGCCACCAAGGCCTGGATCAATGACCCCCATGAGCCACCAAGTCCTTGGCTCAGAGAAATCCCCACAAGCCACCAAGGCCATGCCTCGCTGCCGAGTGTCGGATCCAGGGAGGATGGAGGAGCCAGGGCTGGGCTGCTGTGTGTGAAGCCTGAGCAAATGGCTCATTTGCATGGTGGGCTCACATGTTTGCAGAGTCTGTTTCGGGCGGTAAAGCACTCGGCTTCACTTTCTGACGAGCAGGTGTTTGGCAAGGAAAGAGCCATCACACCATCAGCTGGGAGAGAGGAGGAATCTGCTACCGGAGTGTTGATTCAGAAGTCATGGCTGCTGTTCAGGAAACTTTTATTGGAAGAGTTTTCTGAAGTTCTTTCCTTGAAAATGAGAGACCTGCTGGGCTCCCACTCTTCTGCTTGTAACTCCCTTTTCCTGGAGAAAAATCTTGACCCCCTCTGGCTGTCCCCTCCTGTCAGGGAGTTGTGCAGAGCCAGAAGGGCCCCCTGAGCCTCCTTTTCTCCAGGCTGAGCCCCTTTCCCAGCTCCCTCAGCCTCTCCTGGTGCTCCAGCTCCATTCCCTTCCCTGGACACACTCCAGCCCCTCAGTGTCCTTGTGAGGGGCTCAGAAGTTCTCCAGGGCTGGAGGTGCCTCAGCAGTGCCAGGCTCATCACTGCCCTGCTCCTGCTGGCTGCTATTAAGTTCATTAATTAAATTAGTCAGTGTCATCTCGTCTCTCTGTTACTGCGGAGTTCTCATTTATCTTGTTGCTGTTTGCAAGGTTTTCTTTAGGATTGAACTTCTGAACAAAGCCAAAAAACAAAGCCAAACTTCCAAATAAAGCCACAACTCCAGATTTGATTCAGACCTCACCAGGTGCCCCAAAAGGATTCTTGGGCTCTGTGGTGATTTTTGCTCATCCTGGTACCTTGCTTGTATCAGGTGTGTTCCTGAGTTGCCAAATGGATGAGCTTAGGCTCTTTTGCTCTCTTTTTTTCCTGACTCCATCCCTGAATTCCTGGGGTGATGGCTCTGGCTGGAGCTGTGGGGACACCACTGGCTGTGCGGGCTTTTCCTCCTCAGCATTCCCACATCCTTGTCTCTGGGTTTGTGCTTGGTTTGGTGAGTGGGAATGATCATTTTCTGAAACACTCCTGCAGCTTTGCAAGCTTTCATCCTGAAAAAATGAAGCCTGTCTGCCCTTTACTCCTGGAATGATTACAGCTGGGTTTTAGCTTTAGGGAGATTATTGGACAGACCTTGCTGTTGGAAGGCAGAGGTGCAAATGGGATTTCCTAAACACAGCCTTGCTCCAGCTCTGCCCTTGTGTAACACAGTGGCAAAAATAGCAGTTTTTTCTGGGAAAGCTGGAGCAGTCTTGGAAGGTCCCACCTGTTCTATGTTCCTTGTGGTGCATTTTCCAGAGAGATTTTCACGCCGTGGGAGCCGGGCGCAGCAGCAGCCACGGAGCTGGGGCTGGTGCCTGTTTCTGTAGCCCTTTTGTGGGGATAAGTAGGTCAGTGGCACCAGTGCTGCTCGTGACACTTCCCCCTGAAAGCAGAGCAGAGCTCTGGGGCTGTTTCCTGGCCTCAGACCCTTTATTTTTGCTTTATTCAGAGTTACGTGTTTGGCCTTCAAACTGGCACAAGGTGACTTCAGTCTGCTGCTGTGGCACTGCCTTTCTCCTGAGGCTCTGAGCCACTCATCCCATAGCACAAACGTGCTGAGGGATTCACGGGATCCCTGTGCTGCTGCTGATGGGTCTGGACATGGAAAGGTGATGGGAAAAAACGCTGGGTTTTTTCCCAAGGGGTTCCCGTTTTTATCTCAACTTGTTATTCCAGATTACCCCATGTTGCTTCCCCGGTGTTGAAGCCCCTGTGAGGGGTTAATGCATTGTCTCAGCAATTCAGAGTTGATTTGGAGTGAGAGTTTTGGACTGGGAGTTCTGTTATTGGTTTGTTTTGGCTTTTGTTTTGAGGACCTCAGAGCGTTTTACAAAGAGCTCTGGAAAACCAGCAGAAGGTCCTGGGTACTGGAATATGTTCTCTTCCAAAAAAAACCCCCAAACTTCAGAGCTACATGACTGAAGGGTCAGCAATAATCACCCTTTCATTCTTTAATTGTGTTCAACTTGTTGGGGTTCAATGCCTTTTTTTGGTTTTAAGCTTCAAGTTTGAGTTGTTGTATGTTCCTGGCATTTCTTGCTCCCATGCTCAGATTTTATTTCAGAGTCAGAGCTATGAAGTAGTTGAAGTCAGACCAGCACAAGATGATTAATTTTTTCCTGTCTCCCAAGATCATCTTTTGAGACTATCAAGACATATGTTCTCAAATAGATTCCCTGGTAGCGTGGGGGTTATGGGAATGGCTCAGCAAGGCTGTGCCCTTTCCTTCCTGTAAAATTGGGATGGCTGGAAGAGGCCAATCAATCAATTCCGTCTAGTACTTACATCTTTTGGTCGCCTTACGAACGAATTTGTAAGATGCTTTACATGCTGCTGAACAGGAAGTAGCTTTTGATTCTATTTCTCCTCTCAGCTGCTGTTTGTGAGCCATGAGCTCCCTGGTGAATTCCCAAGGAATGCTGCGAGCCAGGGAAGCGGAGCAGAATTCCCTGAGGTTGCGCAGAAGGGTCTGAGGCACAGCTGGGAATCAAACCCCAGTCACCCGACACCCAGCCCTTGCCTTAACTATTGTACAAGAATTTCCTCCTACTGTGTCTCTAATAGAAACTGCAGGGCCAAATTAAGTGGGCAGATTGTAATCACTGCTGCTGAGTTATCCCAGCGGTGGAATTACTGCAGCCCTCTGCTTTTTGCTACTAATTTGGAAAGTTTGCTTCCTCTTCCCCCCCTCCCCTCCCAGAGCTCCACCTTGCCACATTCCAGGCTCTGCCTTGTGGGAAAAAGAGCCCGAATGACCATAAAGAGCCCAGATGTTGTGGCTGGGGGCAGGAAGCACAAGTCAGCTCTCCCTGATTTGTGAAGCTAAAAATAGTGAGAGCATTAATACGAATCTCTGCCTTCAGCTGGCTGGGCAGCCCGGCCTCTCCGGAGGCATCTTCCTTGTGGGAGCCATACGGCACAAGGAGCAGGCAGGCAGCTCCTTGGATTAATTCCTCAGTGGTTTGGTTCCTTGTTTTATTTGCATTACAGGAGTGCCTGCAGGCCTGAGTGCAGCTTAGACCCCCAGCTAGGCATGGCAGGAGAGCGTGGCGAGAGACTGGACCGAGCCTAAAGATGCTCTGGAGGAATTTCAGAGTAAGGAAACGTAGTGAGTGACAGGAAAGGGACAGAACCTGCAGCCACGTGGCACCGACAGCAATAAACCTGGGGTGAGTTTTTATTTTCTATCACCAGCACAGCGAATGTCTTCATCTCTTCCCCAAGCCCAGTCAGCTGACACAGGTTCCTCACTGGGAGCTGTGGGATGGGAAATTGGGAAATCCAGGCACTGTCCCCTTCCTGCAGCAGCACAGGAGCGTGGTCTGTCGGGGGTGGTTGCTCTGGATGGTCTTTCTGGATGGTGAATTCCTGCATGACCTTCCAGAGTCATTCCAAATCCCCTCTTCAGTGATTTCATATCAAGGGCAGCCAGTGAGGGAGCAAATTTTGGCATCTGGGGACTGGGGAGTGTCTGGACAGCGTTTTCCAGCCTTCTGGGTGGGGTGGGGAGGGTGGGAACAACGTGATTCAAAGTGGCTTTTGTTCCCTGCAGCATAGATTATAGTAATGTTGCTATGGCCACAAATCTCCCTCAAATTGCTGCAGACAATTCATGAATTTCCTTTTTTATTACATCCTAACACTGAAAACCAACGAGGCTGCCAGAAACCTCTCCCTGGGAAATCTGTAACCGCTGGAGATGTCAGGAGCTGCAGGAGGGGTTGCAGTACAGGTAGTGTGAGTATTGCTGTACTGGGGCATGCTGTAAAGGGAATCTCTTGTTGCTGGAACTTTGGGATGCTTTTGAGGTGAAGTAATTAAATTAACCCAAAATATCTAGCCACTCACTTCCATCCCATGACTCCTGATTAATTAGTTATTCCCATCTCTGGGGTAATTGGAGCATCAGGATGCCTGAGTCATAGGCATGGAGCCCTGTAAGCTTTATCCTGTTTCTCTTCCTTTCCCAAGGAAACTGTGTCCTCAGGTGAGCCTCACTGGGGTTCCTGAGGCTGGGCTGGGAGATCCCTGACTGGGAGATCCCTGGCAGTGCTTCCTGCTCCTGCAGCACATGGGAAGTTGTATTTTTAACTCTTGTTTGTAGCTTTGCTCACTCACAACGCAGCGTGGACCTCCAGCAGCATTCGGGTGCCCTGGGCACTGGGGGTGGGGGATTTGTGATTGGTTTCTTTCTGGTTTAAGTCAGGCTGTACATCTGAAATCACTCATCAAAAACTCTTGTATTTGTGGGCAGAGAGGGAGGGAGAGGGGAGAGAGGAGCTGTTTTGGCTGCAGCACAGCTTTCTCACCCCTGTGAATTGGTCTGCGGGGGTCCTCTCAGGGCTTGGGGGACAGGGCTGTGAACAAGACTCCTAAACACCACTTGGTCACTGCCTTCCATGGCCCTGGGCAAGTCATTTAGCTCCTTCTTGCCTTAATTGGCCTAATTAGTGCCTTCAAGGTATCTCAAAGTGCTGGTAATTGGTGCTTCTGTTTGTACACCAAGGCAGCGGCCAAGAGCCCTGGGCATGTTCATCCCGGTTCCTTCTTAGTCTGTAGCCAAATAAACATCAAATAAACATCAAAACTCCTGTTTGATGTGACAGCTTGGAGGTGATGACTGAGCTTAGAGTCCCAGAATGGTTTGGGTTGGAAGGACCTTAAAGCTCATCCCATTCCACCCCTGCCATGAGCAGGGGCACCTTCCTCTATCCCAGGTTGCTCCAAGCTGGCCTGGGACACTTCCAGGGATCCAGGGGCAGCCACACCTTAACCCAAAGCGTAGCTGTGGCCATTCCAGCACTCAGAATGTACTGCTGTAACCTTGTCTGAAAGTCAAACCTCATGTTATTTTCATCAATTTATTAATTTGATCCTCATTGAAACCTATTCTTGGTCCTGGTTCTTTTCTAGATCATGGGGTAGATTTTTTGGTTCCACGTGCTGGAGCACGAGTTTTAGTGCAAACTCTGTTCATTTCACAAGCTTAGACTCACATTCTGTGTGTCTACAGTTTGCATTATTTGAGGAACTGTGAGATTTATGGTTATTAAATGTGATGGAACCTTACTACTCAAGAGTAGAAATCATGGAAACACAGGATTTGGGTTTTCAGGGACCCTAAAAATGTAGTTCCAACCCCCTCCCATGGGCAGGTTGTGCCCTTCAAGTGTCTGGATAAAGCCCAGCCAGTGTTTTGAATCTTTCATGTTCATGGTTTGTTCTTCTTGGGCTGCCTGGTTTTTGTGGGTATTGTGGGTCTCTTGTGTGGTGCTTCAGCAAGGATCAGCATTTTGGGGTGCCTCTACACAAAGTTTAGGATGAAATCCTGATGCATTTACTGAAGCCTCCTGGAGCACTTGAGTGATGAGACAGAGAAGGACAAATGTGTAGGAAGTGAGAAATGGAATGAGGATTGTGGTGGAGTTGGAAGCAAAGGAGAGAAGTGACCTGGATGAGGAATGGGGGATGAGGAGACATGTTCAGTTTGTAGGCAGAGGCCATACACCCTGATTTCATTTTTTTTTTTTCTCCAAGGTTTTTTAACTTCCTTCCCTTCCCATTTGCACTCATGGTACCCACACTTTTAGTTAATTTCAAAGAAGAGAATAAAAAAAAAATTACTGAAACCGTTTTGGCGGCTTCAAAATCAGGAAACCCACACTGCTGTGGTGTGGCTGTTCCAGCCCGTTCTCACGCTGGTGGCCTGAGCTCTGCCACCCTCAAGTCCCCTTCCCATGGCACAGTGAGCTTGGACTGGTCTGCTGGGGCTCTCTGAGCTCCATGTGTGGCTGGAGAAATCCAGGCTGTCCCGAATGGACAGGCTTGGACAGCTCTGTGACACGGTGAATTCTCATGTTCACCCCACAAATGCTCTTGTAACTTGATGGAGCAGGAAGATTTATGTTCAGGGGAAGTCATAAGTGAGCTCTTTTTCCCAGAACTTAGTGTGCTGGATGTTAGTGTGATGTTTTTCTTCCCCCAGAACTGGGATGCTTGGCACAAGAAGGATGTGGATCTGTTAGAGTGGGTTAGAGGAGGCCACAGAGATGTTCCAAGGGCTGGAGCCTCTCTGCTCTGGAGCCAGGCTGGGAGAGCTGGGGGTGCTCAGCTGGAGAAGGGAAGGATCCAGGGAGAGCTCAGAGCCCCTTGCAGGGCCTAAAGGGGCTCCAGGAGAGCTGGAGAGAGACTGGGGACAAGGGATGGAGGGACAGGACACAGGGAATGGCTTCCCACTGCCAGAGGGCAGGGATGGATGGGATATTGGGCAGGAATTGTTCCCTGTGAGGGTGGGGAGGCCCTGGCACAGGGTGCCCAGAGAAGCTGCGGCTGTCCCTGGATCCCTGGCAGTGTCCAAGGCCAGGCTGGATGGGGCTTGGAGCAGCCTGGGATATAGTGGGAGGTGTCCCTGCCCATGGATGGGAATTGATTTTTTAAGATTCTTTGACAAAATGATCTTTCAGGTCCCTTTAACCCAGACCATTCTGTGATGATTTGAAGTGTCACAAATGAGTGTCAAGGGTGGGTCCTTTGTAGTCTCTTGTAGTGGCCACATTTTGCAGGGGACACAGCATGGAGCAAACAGCACACGTGGCTCCAGGTATGTTCCCTGTGAGAGGGATGGATCTGTACCTCTGGTGAAGGGAATTCTCTGTCATGCAGCAGGTGGAATGTGCTGCTTCTCACCCAGAACTGGCTGATTTTTCCTTGTTTTTCTCTGAATTCTTGGCTGCTGGGTTTGGGTGGGCTCAGGAGCTTTGTCGTAAAAAACTTCCAGCTCTAATCCCTCAGCGTGCCATCAAAATCCAGATAAAAAACACTCCAGATCCTCCTTGGTGTGTGTGTGTGTGTGTGTGGAGGCAGAGAGGGGCTGGGAGGTGGATTTTTGGAGGCAGGACTGTGTGGAAATCTTTCCCAATTCCATTCCTGTAATCAGTGCTTAACATTCTTGTTCTGTGCTTCAGCCCCTCACCTTTAACTGGAGTGCTCTGAGATTGCTTATCTGAAAGAGACAGAGGTTCATTATGTTAATTGGCTCTAAAATAACCACATCAAATACCAGTAATTGATATTATTATTCTGCTCTTGTTGTGTCCTAGGGTTTTCAGGGAGCAGAAATGAATATGGAAACCTGCACTTTGTGCTGTGCTTGCCGGCAGAACCTGACGTGAGGTTGGGGTTTCAAGAGGCTGTTGGGTGATTCTGGTAGCAAAGAGTGGGACTGGTGACATGGAAAGGGGAAAGATCCCTGCTTGGAGATGTCTGTGTTTAATCCCAGCTCCAGGGAGAGCTCCCTGCTCCGACCAGGGGGAGTCAGGGCTGTGAATACAGCAAAGACACGGCCACTTGGCAGGTGAACTACGGATGTGCGGCTGGAAAATTGATTTTAGGAGGGAGCAAGCGTGGAATAAGCTGGTGTGGCCACTCCTGACTGCGCTGCCTAAAATTGTTTGGAGAAGGGATAACTCCTTCTGGCATGGTGTGTCTGGCTGCTGCTGACAGCACTGTTTCTACCCAGTTATGAGATCGTTTTTCAATCAAAACTCTTCCCTCCCCAGCTCTCCTGTTTGTCCAGAACGGTTTTGTCCCTCATCAGGCAGAGTGGAGCTTTCCTGATGGTACTGACAGGAGTTAGCTGGGGCATAACTCAATCCTCTCTAAGCTGCAAAGCAGAGCAACATTTTGGTAATTTGCTGTAATGGGATCCCTGTGCTCAGCAGAATTTGTAATGGAGGCTGGGATTTGGTGTGGGTGGGAGGACGTCAAAAAGGAGGGAGGGTGGGTGGATAATTCCTCCTGAGGGGCAGCAGTGGGGCAGCTCTGATCTCTCCGTGAGCAGGAACAGGACACAGGGGACAGCTGGAGCTGTGCCAGGGGAGGGTTAGGTTGGATATCAGGAACAGGTTCTTCCCCCTGAGGGTGGTGGGACACTGGAACAGCTCCCCAGGGAATGGGCAGAGCCCCAAGGCTGCCAGAGCATCTCAGGGATGCCCAGGGTGGGATTGTTGGGGTGTCTGTGCAGGGCCAGGGCTTGGATTGAGATCCTCATGGGTCCAACTCTGGATATTCCATGATTCTGTAATGGATGAGGAATTGAAGAAGGTTGGGCCAGAAGAAGAGCCAGGAGCTGGAGTAAGGGAGAGGAAATGAGAGTAAAGGAAATGTGAGT